TGCCGTACATACCTGGTAGGGGAGAGCAAGGGTGACGGACGGTTGTGTGCTAAGTTTGAACATGTCTACTGTGTCCTACACAATCCCCAGTCGGTTGCTTTCGTTCGAGGCCACGCACTTGCCCACACACACACACACACACACACACACACACACACCTCTATACATACGCACTAGCACACAGATGCACACATTCGTAAATGACCTTGAGATTTCAATTCATGGATTGAACATACAACATCCAACTGAATCCCAAACTCATCTCTTGCATCGCATGTTTACAGTCTGTTAAAATGAGACAACACACTCCTCTTTCCCTCTCCCTCTACGTCTGCTTATAGTGGCGGACCTTCAGAACGGACAAGATGATTTTTCTGATCTCTCATTTTACATTTCTGAACTTCATCCATTCGCATACATTCTCGCTCACGTGGTTTGTTCAGACTACATTGTGGGTGGTGATGTTAGCGACAATTAAGGTGGGGTGGTGGAATGGGACTATAGGCCCGACTAGGAATGCCCATCTCGACACAGGATGCAGGTATTGCTGCTGATCCGATATTGGTTGTCGCACTGAAGAAAACATTCGTGGACAGATGCGGATGCCGATAGGATTGAACATTGTCTTTTGCGAATGGTTATGTTACATTCAAGTACAGAGTACAAGAAAATGGCCACATCTGGCCGAACACGGAAAAAATGTTGACGGGTACGGATGAGGGTGCACAGTGTAGTAGCAACAATTTGGGTACAATTTGATGAACTACGTGACCAAATTAATGTACGAACCTCTGTGGAAGGCTCGGTTGATCATACCCGCGTGCAAAAACGAATCAAATACGGAACAGACAGGATGGACTGTCTGAGTATCACTCACACACGACTGAAGACATCGATCGGCTGGGCCAGGATACGTCAATTTTCCCCGATCCTACGTACAGTAATTCAAACCATCTGATGGTTGGATGACCAAAAATCCTTAAGAGCTACAACCTATTTCATGGGAAGTTGAACATCATACCCGCACAAAAACGAACCGAGAATAAACGTGCGTAGTTCTACGAGAATCACGTTTATTGGATCTCAAATATCTTGGTATTTGAACGAATGTGTACCACACCTTGTTTGTACTTGTCCAGTTCATACATATTTCGAAGGTTTAAAACAAATGAAGAAACCGGTTTTTGTGTTCTCTTACACTATCATCGGTATGCATGAAAATGCACTCTATATATAGCTCGATAGCTGCTCTGCGAAGGACCGTTCGTTTGGTCCATATATGCAATATGAGTATCTATTATGCTATTATGTTCTGCCGTTACATTTAACTCAGGTCCGGCATCCAACGATCCATCCTACTATCACGACAGCAGTCGAGACGATGCTGATGTGACCATGTGCATTTGTCCCGTGTGTGGATTTTCTGCCTCCTCACCGCGGGGACAGGATGAGCATATGGAAACAGAGCATGGAGAATGTCACAACGGGGCCTCGGCCAGATCCGCATCCCTGCCCATCGAGCGTCTCTCACCTGGTCCTGACGTGTTCGTCTCGTCCAGTTTCGGGTTGCGAGCCTCATCGACCCCGCACCAACAACAGCAAGCACCACAACAACGCACCCTACCGACCTGCGATAAAACCCTTCCAGTTACTGCTATGGTGGGAGTTCCCAGTACTGGACTCAGTCTGCCACACACGACCAGTTTGCCCTATTTCTCTTATGACTTGAACTCGCCTGGTGTGATGGCTTCAGCGACAGCCGGAAATGACGCTGTGTCTCCCACTGCTTCCACACACTCGAACCCAGTCTCAATGAGCACAAATCACGTGAGCGTAAAGGTCGCATCTGATCCGGATACTGCACGCACGGGAATGAAAACTCGCACTTATCGTGGCAGTCTCGGACGGCACACACGCATAGCATCAGTATCCAAACTGATGGATTGTGAATCTCCCGTATCGAACGTTCTGTTCCCACAGAAGGTTGATTCACGTCGACGGTACCGGTAAGTGCTGATGGTCTGATAAATGATAATGATGATTTTGACAGTCTCGACTGGAATTAGTTACGTACGTGCAGAACACTTTCTATCAACTAACTGATTGCCTAGTTTTCGGGTGTCCATTATGAGAAATATAGTATACTTATTCCAAATGGATGATGAAATACTGTGTCCACCTTGCAGAGCTTTTGAGTTATAAGCAAGATGTTCATTCTGAAATTCGTCGTTAATCATAAAATAACCCAAACCATTTTAGTTGAAATTCCACTTCGTTTTTTATTGATTCAATAAAGGGATTGTTAGAGTGATTCCTAGCGATAGTGGATGATGTCTGTTTTGACATTTTGATCTATAGGATTCTTTCTTGAATCTCTCGTGCACACGGTCGTGGCCGAATCAGTACATTTTACTCATTTCTCTTTCTCTGTCTGTCTGTTACGTAACGTTCAGGTGTAACATTTGTCCGGCGACCTTTCCTTGGCATGGCGATTTAACTGAACACTTACGACTGGCACATGGCATGCAAAAAACCCGTGAAAGCGCCCGCAGTGGAAAGGCGGGCAATTTCTGTTGTAATCATTGCAAATACGTGGCCAAATATCAGAGCGAACTGCGAAGACACATGCGTTTACACTGGGGCGTGAAACCGTTTGTGTGTGTGTTCTGTCCTTATCGTAGTGCTTGGAAAGGGGATTTGAAGCGTCACATGGAATCTCATCATCGGGAACGATTCAGTTCGGAGGCGGATTTGGTTGAGATTATGTCCCAGTTTAAGAACAACGCCGGAACTACAGTGAACGGACTTCCGTTATCCGCGAAACCGGTCACAGATGCGTACAACTTCGGCAGTGATTTTGAGTCGGAGACAGCCGATGAGGGATCATACAAACTGCAGGATAGTCAGGAACTTAGCAGTTCTGGTGAAACTTCCTTATCCGGTTTTCCAAAACCGTCATCCACCACCGATTTGCTTTCCTTCAAATGTGCAAAGCTTGATAGTGGCAGTGTGGAAAATCCACTAATATGCACAATATGTTCGTATAAAGCACAGAATCAGAGCAAGTTACACAATCATATGGCTGGTCATATGAATTTGAAACCGTTCAAATGTCCAATTTGTGATCATCGAAGTAATTATAAATGGGATGTGCGCAAACATCTGCGTAGTCAGCATCCAACTCAAGCGGATCTACCGGTGGTCGTCCTATCTGGTCTCGATCGTACTGGGGATATACCGCCAGAGACACCATTGAATCTCAGTCCACCTGATTCCCCAATGAGTTTGTGTATTGATTTGGCTAGCAAGACTCCGGAACAACCAACCGTGAGATCCTCATTGACGCCGTCATCTGTAGCTATTCCAAGTCCCGGTCACCCGTGGTCTACACAATCAGCAGTTCCGTGTGAACCCGACCCGGATGTGGTGCCCATTGATCTTTCCGTGAAAGATCAAACCAATCCGGTAAGTAGTGTTTTGGTTTCTCTGCGGAATATAGGACAACTTCGTTTGTCTTCATTGAACAACTGAGGAATTTATTAAGCAAGATAATTAACATGTTAAATGAGATAGAGATCTTTGTGGTGACCGAAAAAGAGCACTTGACAGCTGTTATGTCCTGTTTGGGAAAGCCAGCAATATGTCCTTTTTAGCTCCTGTCGGGACTCGAACCATCATTATACGAGTCAACACCTCTGTTCCTTGACGCCAATAGGCGTCACCTTGTATGAATGGATCAAACAGTACGCACTGCCGACGAGTCCCAAACAGGATGGAGCAACTCTTCAATGCTGTTTATCGGTCCTCACGGTCCTCACAAAAATTTCTGCCTCATTTTAATACACATAATTAGAGGAGAATAAACGATCTATCAAGGAGGGAAACCCAACACCCTTAATCAACAATGTCTGACTGCTATGAAAGATCGAATGGGCTAATCCAAACATTCGCCGTCCAAATATTAGTCATTAATTTAGAGTATCGAGCTCTGATTAGCCCATTCGATTGTTCAGAGGCACCAGGCAATCTTGATGGTCTTGGGTGTGGGTTTCACTCCTTGGGAGATCGTTAATTCCCCACCGTTTGAATGCATTTTAAATGCGATGGAAACAAAGAGCACTTGACAGCTGTTTCGTCCTGCTTGGGACTCGTCAGCAGTGCATACTTTTTGTGTCCCTGTCAGGACTCAAACCGCGATCAGTCGGGTCGGGACTCCAAACCCTTACCCCTGAGCTACCAGTCATTAATGTTTTAACTTCCAGTGATACATTCATTCATTCATTTAAATTGGCAGAAATTAAATTGATTGGGGTTATTTCGTTCGAAACAGTGTACCCCAAATCATAGTTTCATCATACTACCTCCCATTGATGTTTTTCAACGTTTTATTTTCTTCTTCTGTTTTCATTGGTTATTGCAATTGTATAGGACCAGACACGGCCGTATAGGTCAGTCATTGTGTGTGTTTCTTCGTTCACCAGTAACTTCCCATCTGTTGTTCTAACCCACAACCGAACACTTTTGTGCATGGGTGTTAATGGCCTCACGAATGCAAACCATACTATCCATGCTTGTTCTCGCGGACTAGTTTCTCTCCCCGGCCGACAAGTTGAATTAGGAAGGATTTTTTATGAGAATGTGTTTGTATCCTGCCGTTGTATGTTTTAAAGTCACGTGCATTTTCTGTTTGTTCGTTTAAAGTTTGGCATAGGCTTCGGTTTTATTTTTTCTTAAACCACTTTGAAGTCGTTATTGGCGATGTCCTTGGTCAAATATGAAGTTCAAAATAGCGTGGAAGTGACCTCAGTTTTAAATAGGTTATAAGGTTTGTTTACAATTGGACCAAATTTGAACTTTTCGTACAATTTGTTGACTCTGCTTGACCGATTTTGTTAGACTACTTTACGGATGAGACTGTTGAAACAAGTATCAACTCAGGTTAACGCGATTAACCTGGATTATTGGATAGTGTGCTGAGGTGTACACCACTGATCAGCCTGTAGATTATACATGTACGTTATGCACTCTGGCTTACGAAGTCTGTCATATACATCAATACGTTCCTTCGGTTTACTAGAAAGCACCTAATTGAATGATTACCGGATTAAAACAGTACTCCATAATCAGCTTCCGCTTTCATGCTCCCGTAAGCGCTGTTATGATGAATTTCCGTTTGCGTGGCTACCACCTTCTGGAACTAGACGGTCAGGAGTTGCCTGAAATTACCATTCTAACGGTCGCCTAGCTCACCGCGCCTTGTTTCTAGTGGCCACTGCAAACTGGAGAAAGCCACGTAGAGACCAGCATATGACTTGGAGACGAGGCATGAGAAATGCACAGAGTGATTAGGTTGGAGTCCAAAAAGTTCCATAACTGAATGGTTGGAGACACTGAGAGTAATGGCAGAAAACCAACAGCAGTGTCACTTCTTATCGGACAACGGTTGAAATAGTGTGTATGTACAGCTAGATAGTGTAATCTGTGTGTTGACCATAGAGGTTCGCTTTCTTTTCCCGTCCCTAAAAGTATGTTCAATCCCTATCCTCCTTACACATTCTCACTTGTATTGTATGCATTATAAGTTTATTAGCGATCGGTGAAGTTCGCTTCACTGTACAATGATTATGCTCACTCATCTAGATTGGGTTACAATCACAATTAAACGAAACAATGTTATCAATACTCAGATAGCAATATTTCTGAAAGAACTAAAACGGACTTATGGTTCGCTTCACTGTATTACAACGTTCAATGATGATGATGATGATGATGATGAGGAGGGGGTAGAAAAAATAAGCCGCAAAGAATCTGAGCTACACCTCTATTGTTTTGTTAGTGGTGCTTCGAAAGTGGTCACGTCCAGAGGGAAACACTAGCAAACAAAATCAATATATTTATTAGGCTTAATGAGGGATTATCATTTCTGAGGTACAAATCAGATAATGTAGCAGATTGCTCTGGGATATTTTCCACCAAACTAGACTTTTATATAGATCAACGTTTATCGATTTGTCGAAGCATTTTGGAAATAGTTTAACCTAACTAACAGAAAAGGCTTATCTAACATTCCGAACCAATAACCATATTTTCTATTCACTGTTAGATTATGCGTTGCTTGCCACCCCGAGGGGATTTTTCTCTCTCTCTCTCTCTGAAAGTTCATGGAATTGTGTTGATGGTCCAATACAGTGGAATGCTACGAGTAGTAGTACTGTCATCTCTGTTCTCCTTTTTCGCATGTGCATTTGTGCTCTACTTTCAGTCACCTCCTTTTAGGCTCCCTCTTTATCCTACACCTGTGTTGCACGCCGCCTTTGGTTCACCAATGTAGTGCTCACTCTCCTTTATGTTGTCCATGCATGGAGCGTTGTGCAGTTTGCACCTACTCACCGCGCACGTGACAATGCACACCGTGTTATTAAATAATACTTCATGATGTGTTTCAGATTCAACAGCCAACGCTCCTTGGTACCACAACTGAGACAAATGTGGCTTCCACATTACTCGATCACGCACTCATATCGGACTCGGGTGTAATTCAGCACACTGTTTCCTCCTTGGTCGATTCCAAACCGACCATGAATGTGACCGCGGGATTTTCGGCCATACCGATGATACAAAATGTGACCACCAATCCGCCGGTGTCTACTTCCGCACCATCAGTGACCGGGATTTCTTGGACATCGGGGCTGAATTGTGTTGACCAGTCCGGGCTACTCGCCTCCAGTCCACCGAACACCAATGCAATCGGTCTGATACTGAACTTACAACAACAGCTTTTGATGCATGGTCTTCTGCCGTCGTGGCCACCGCGACCGATATCCACTGTGATTTCCACCTCTAATCCACTACCGCCTCAACGAGCCTCGTCCGCAAATGGTTCAGACCATATTGTCTCCGGATTAAACTTAACAGACGTTCACCCGGACCCGATCGATTCCAATCGGATTATGCTATCTGACTTCAGTTTGGTTTCAGACCCAAATGGAGTATATGGGAAGAAAACCCCATCTGAATGGTCTTCAGCAGACACAGATCCATCCGAACTTATGCACGCCGGTCGCAACTCATTCGGTCAAGCCGAGGCGTCTGAGAATTCTGCCCAAGAAACACCCAGACGTACACGAGGTCGGAAGTTGACCACAGCGTCCTCGTGTTATAATCGTCCTGGAGGNTGGTGCTGGTGCCGCCAGTACCGGTTCACTTGGACCGAAGGAGGAACAGTGGAAACGCCACCAGTGCTCCGGTTGCGGGCATAGATCCAACTGGAAATGGGATATTAATAAACATATTAAGGTGAGAATCATAATTCGGATTGTATTTAAAATAGAGGAAAGAATGATAAAATTGAAACAATGGTGATTAGAACAATGCGCCACGTCGGAATTCGTGAAGTGCTAGCTCGTAAACGGTAAAAACAATAGATAACGACTGCAGTTCCTTATCATTTATGCTGTTTCAAGGTCAAATATGCGTTAGAGAGCTTCCTCTACTGAAATCTAACAAGTAAGGTCTACGGTTAGATAAAAAGTTATCTTGGCTTGCCACCCAGTGATTTGTTTGTTTCTGAATAAGGGACTACCGGATTGATCGCAAAAATTAACCGATCACTCGTCAACCAAACGCCAAAGTACACACGGTATCGTGGTTACTCGGAATCCGTGCTGTTGTGAATGGTGTTACTATTTGATTTGTATTTGTGGTAACCAAAAATGAGGTTGAACGCACAATCAATCTGGATTTCTCCTAACCATGCCGCTCTCATATTCCACACCTTCGTAATAGGTAGCTCATCCAGAACGGACGAACATCACCACCGTAACACTGGATTTGGAGGAAGCCAAACAAACATTCGGCGAGTATATGAACCGACTGAAAATGTCTCGTAGTCGATATCTGAATGATTCCGCCGGGGGTGTGATGGGCGGCTCTTCTGGTTCCGGCGGTACTGGTTGGACTGGTGGTTTGGCTTCGACAAGTGAAGGCTACTATCGACCGTACAAGTGTTCCGTTTGTGGCCATCGGTGAGTGATGCAAATTGGTATGCATAAAAGCTAGATTTTTATCACTCCAACTTAGTCAATAAATCACAAGGTCCTAGTGATCATTTTGATCTTAATTCCATTTATGATGTTTAGCCAGAATATTTGATGAGAAATATCGCAGTCACTTTAGAAATCTTCAGCGTCGGCATATACCTGTGTGGACGAGTATGAAGGAGCAATGGATACCGTTATTTGGGTATCTTATTCAAATGATATTTTTGGCTATTGTGCCAGCTTACTGTTGGGGTTTTGTTCACTTCCGGAGGGTTTGCACTCACTCACTTATTCAGGTACGCACTCAATTGGTGGCTAATTGATTGATTCATCCATTTCTTAAAACTACAATTTCTTCATGTATTTTCAGGAGCAATTGGAAGTGGGATGTTCGTAAACATATCAAACAGATGCATAACAGTGAGGCTGAAGTGATCACTCTGAGTTTGGATGAGGCACGACGAACCATACACCAATACAAAAGTTGTCGACGTCAACAACAAACTCGTCTTTTGGATGCGACAGCACTCAAATCGGAACCGCAGAATATATCTCCGGACCCATCAGCGTTATTTCCCTTGCAAGATGATAGACCAAACATATCCTCTAGTGTCCTCGAACAGATGCCACTTAACCCGGTGACAACAACCGAGTCGACCGTGGAATCATCTATGCCCTGCTCCTCATCCTCACCATCAGTCTTGCCACCGCCACCACCGCCGACCAGTCCCTCAAAAAATATTCCTACGATTGAACACAACCTACACAGAGCTGGTGATGTTGTTACTAACGCCAATGCTTTGATCAGAGAGAAATCCTATACATTATACTATCCATGTCGTCAATGTGGCCGACGTTTTCGATCCTATCCCACTCTATTCTTCCACATGCATCATAAACATCATGCGGGGACAGCATTAAAATCATCGAACACAGCAACAACCACAACATCAACCAACCACGAGGCAAAGCTTGGCTCCGTGCCGCCTCTGTCCATTCGATTTTACTACGCTGTTTCGAGAAATTTTCCACGTCATTCAAGTCGTATGAATCGGTCGAAGGTAAATAATGTAGGATTTGTGTCTATACATGCACAAATGTACAAATTTCTTTCATCTCAGTAAACAATACCCAGAATGCTTTGTAATATTGCACCTCAATTTTAACCTGATACACGATTATGGTTCACACCCCCTGATAATGAACTCGTTCGGTAATGGATTAACTTACTTTTTACTAGTATGAGATAATTCGTATTTTGAATTTCCGACTGATGATTCTTTCCTTCTTTTTTACAAAATTGTCTGCTTAATGAATCCATCAAACACTCAGTTGACTGGTTGAAGTATTGTAACTTGTGTTCCACATTCCACTTCTCAATTGGATGATTAACCCATCAATTTCGCAAGGGATGGAATAGAGAGAATGAGAACATGACATCATTGTTGTTTCTCACTATCCTGTGAATGAACAAATTCTAGCTCGCCTATCAAATAGAATACTCTAATGAAAGTGATAGAATGAAAAATATGTCGAATGTATTCACATCTTTGGTGAATAATATCCTCTATATATCTCTTTATCTGCTCATTACAGTTGAACCGTGGCGATAAACATCCATCACTTTCCCTATCTGATGATCAGTGCCCGGTATCCAGTACCTCTAATCCGGCTGTGAAATTGGAAGACCACGATGCAAAGGTTTCGGATTCTGACCCCGCTCGTTTCAAACAGAACGTTGTTGCCTTCAGTGTCGGTACTGACTCAGCAACTATCACAGACGATCCTCAGTTCACGATGCGTAATCCTTTCCAACGGGATCGCGTTTTGCGTGCACGACGACGCACCTGTGAAAACGTATATTCCATCAACAGTCATTCGACTTCGTCCCCGTTACGTTCATTTGCCAATCAAGACAATGCAAACCCATTGCCTCTATTGACACGAGTCGCCAGTGAGGATCGGCTTCATTCCGTGGCGGAAGATCTGTCACCGCGAACTGTAAGACAACTAACCGAACTGTTGGATAAGGTTTTGAGTTTGCTGGAGGGAAAAATTCCATCCGGTGGTGCTGAAGTTGTGAACACAGCAGCATTGATTGGTAAGGGGAATGGGGAAGTTGTATCACATTTGGCTAATCTGATTGAGGAACGATTGTCAAGGAATGAAAAATCCCTTCCATACACCGGTTCCAAAGTGTTGGATACCAGTGCTAGCTCGAACGAGGAGAATCAACCTTTGGGTAATACAGAACCAGACGATGGGACCATTTCAGACAGGTAAGTGGTATGAGAATTCTGGGTTAATCTACCATTTTAACGCAATACACGCTTACATCTGTACTGAATTGTTGTGTCATTGCTGAAAATATTTCTATCCATGCTTCAAGGCATATGGAATTAAGTACTAAGACCATTTAACATAGACTGTTAGTAACATTTAGCTCTAGACTTCAAAGATCCCAGATGTGAGCCATGCTGAGAATCATCAAGTCATGCACAGTCAATGCTTTGTCCATCATGACAATGAAATTCCCAAGTTACACAGTTTCTTTCTACGACGCTCCTTCTTACTTCAGATCATTGAGTAAAATCTTGCATCATCCTGAAGTCGAGCGACGATTCCTCCGTCTGGCCAGTCTGCTTCACACACACGGGCACCGATCGACGACCGCTTGTTCACGTGATCTGATCGCTTGTCCACGGGATTCAGCCAAACGGTTTCGACCGACCGAACCTACACAACGCACGAATATGTAAAGAGCATGGATATTCATGTATATCAGATTTGTTCATTTGATTTCTGCCCCTCCCCTCCACACGCTTCATATTCTGTTATTGCTCATCAAGAGGCCAGTCTCACTTTGCATCATTCATTCATTCAGCTCCCTACATACACGGGAACAGTTCAGTTCAATCATTTGCTTTGTACATAAACTATCCCCACAACCCATATCCATAGTCCCTTACTTTTATTCATTATGGTGGGAGTCTACTCATCTACTCTGTCCAACAATCCACCTGTTATCTTAACGGGTTCCTTTTTTGTTGCTCTTTCGCTTGCGACTCCAACAACCATATATATACATATTTATACATAGTAGTAAGCAATTTGTGATTTTTGTTGTTTTACTCATTGAATATCAACTTCCACTCCGCCCCACCATCATCAACCCAGTGCGCAGATACTTTTAAAATACGATACCAACACTCCAAGAATCATAACGACAACGTACTCTCTATCCCGTCCATACAGGACCTGGTCTTGCTTGGTATCTTGAAAACTGTTTGGCCCTGAATGAGACAGTGGTACTATCTAGACAAATTGTTCTGTTCTCGCGTTCAATCGCACACTATTCACAATAACTGGCGAATGACCATTCTGTCTGTTTTAACTCCTTTTTTTGTATTCAGTATATAAGCAATTAGTCTATTGAACTATCATCATTCTCTGGTTCTCACAATTGAATCTGAAGTTGTTGGTTTCAGTTGGTCTGCGGGTAAGTAGTGGGTTCGGCTTACAAGCGGTGGCTAGGAAATCAAGCTTTCATGCATACGGGCGCGCGAAGCAGTCGCCGCAGCAGGAGTAAGGTAGACAACTAACTGATTCTGAAAATATCACTAGTGCAGTGGCAGATGTCAAATCACTTTCGCTTGGTGCGCACTAACTGCGTGCCAGATTTAAGTACTGCATCAACAGCTGTTGGAACGACTCCTTCGGCAACTGAGCAATATATCTCCATAGATTTCGAGACAGATGATGATCGTTTCTTCTTAGTACTGATCTCGTTACAAAGGAGATAGCTATAGACAGAAAAAGGTTATCGGCTTATGACCACTATCTACCGGTAATATGTCTCATTCATCGATCGATTCAAACAGATCCAAGCAAACAAATGACAGTAATCAAGTAGAGAAATTCCATCAAGCGGTACTCTGCTTGTATGTTTAAAGATGTCTCCTACAGGCACTTGTGCAATTTTCAAGGACGTAGCAGAAGCAGTCACCACAAATTGATTACTGTAGCTTAACTGTAGCTCATAACTTGATGTGTTGCGGCTCAAATATACAATGGCGAAAATTCTCCTGTATAATTTTGCTTGCCAAATGTACTGTAGGTCTCAACTCTCTATCCCGGTGGTTGAATGAAGTGCTTCTGGTGTACGGCATGCATTAGCAAAATAACACAAGTGTGGGTCAGATAGGCTCACACAAGAATTGGCATGATTACTTTGTGCTCTTCAACAAAATAAATCTCTTCAGAGAGCATTTTCAAAGAGGATGATCGTAGTATTCCTCGCTCTGACCATGATGTGCTTACGAAGTTGCAGATAGTTTAATAGCTCCACTTGATCTGTAGGTAAATGATGCAGTGGTGCAATGCACCTGAAAGCTGGCATGGTCGGGAGTTGGTTATCCCGGTGTGACTAGTCCCCCCTACCCTTGCAACTCGCGAAATACCTCTACTCGACCAAGCATCTCATATAGTCTCTGCTGGAAAAGCTCTATTCATTGCGCTTGTTAGGTGGAGGATCGTCTCAGTGAAGTGAGAAGACCAAATGTCAACATCCCGGGCTATGATCGGCACGGTGAACCCCTTACAATTAACCTAGGATAGTCGGCTAAAAGCCCTATGTCCAGATCAACCAAGAAGCAGTATTGTAACCACACACGCACATACCTTTTTGGTCGTGGCAGTGGTTACCAGCCCGGTTCGGGGTCGACGTGAATTGAGCCCCTTGGACGTGCAAAGGGTGTGTAATTTGACAAACTAAACACAGGCCCCAATGGATTATGGCTTGCAAAAACCGCCTCACTGCCTTGTGGACCGAGATTTGGCTTGCCGAAGGCTCCAGTTGTGAATTACCCTGCTTCGGCCTGGACAGCCAGGCCGTGTATCGTGTTCACTAGCCCAAAATTGAAATATTTTCCACCCATATATGTGAGAAAGCCCATTTTTGGAGAATGTGTGTGATATGGCAAGTGGGTCTACGATAAAACCCTATCCTAACGCGTTAGCTTGTTGGCAGTTCGTTTCGTCAATTAGCATTTGGGTTTATTCGATGAAACCGAAAATGATGTGCGCGTGGAAGAAAACGTTCTTCACCCTCCAAACGGATGGATACTCCTGACCCTAGCCTGCACTCACGCTCAGCTTAAGGAATAACCCGCGAATTTCACCTATCTCAGTATCCACGTTGGTGTGCTTATTTTGTTTCACCATGGAAAAATATGATTAGATGGCACAAAACCTGTATTTATGCAGAACACCTCACTGCGTCCCGAGACAACCACTAAGAGATACGTTTCACTTATTGTCAATAACACGGCTTCTATCTGAACTAGAATTTGGAATGAGCTCAGCAAGACTGTGACCACCTTAGTACAATTTTGTCTGTATCGTCTGTTTTCCAATGCCTGGATATTGGTGTTCCCGCCAAAACCACGACAGCTAATGACAGACACTTTATACACGTATCTCTGTCATTAGCCTCCACAGGAGTTTGCTTCTACATATATCAAGGTTCAGAGCCGTTTTGTACCGACTGATCGAATTATCAAAGCGCGTAAAAGCTGTTCCTGCATATAGGTGAATAGGTCATGAATCATCATGCACGGAAAAGGATAAATTCCAGTGGAAGTTCGTCAAATGGGTTCTCGCGTAAACTCCACGAGGAAACTGAAGCCTGACGATTCACCACGCTTCCGGAATAACACTGGAGGCTCTCTATCACAATCTTCTAAATAAACAACTATGAGGCGTCCGAATTGCCATCAATCTACTTAAAGCATGCTTCATTTACTCTTGGCTTTGCGATGAACGCATCCACTCCAGGAACACTAGTTGTACGTATTATCACCATCCACATCCACTCAAATACAGTAATCTCCAGTGTCCATGTGTTCGAAATTAGATTTTATTATATGATAATGGTGAATGATTTGATCCGATAATACAGTGCGTTTTGCTATGTACACAGCAAATGAAATGTGAACCGAAAATTTAGAAAGCACTGGCTAATTGTTTCAAACCGATCGGTCTCATCAGCCGTGTCAATAGAAGCAACATACATTTATGATTTGCGCTATTTCTTACTTGTCTGGTTGGTGGTAGTTACCTTCTTTCAATGCTACTCGTATCGATGATACAGATATAAGCGTTCAGGTCGATGAACTGAACAAAGTCGTTGATTGGATGACGAGTAGTTTCTCCCTATGACAACACTGCCACTCACAACTGAGCATTCTTCGATTTTAAGCTCAACATGATTAATCCAGTACATTCAAGGTGGGGTCACCAATGGTCTACCAACTCGGAGTTCATAGTACTCACTGCGCTCGATCAATTATCACACACACACACACACACACGAACAAATACACAACCTGATCGTTTTTTCTCCTACTTAGATTATTTGCCGTATTTTCAAGTTGCGCCCGACGCGACTGGCAGGAACATTTTAAAATACCGTTGTAACTGAAGGACTTTCGCTGATCATCTTCTTGTCTTTGTAGGCTAACACTTGTACATAATAGTAATATTATGCACGATATGCTATTAACTCCACCCTGTTTGTTCGCAAACTCTCTGTAACAGTGTAACCACCCAGATTGATCAAATTGCATATATGGTGTTATAACTCATTGCTGTGTAGCATAATCAAACATATATCGATTGTGACTTTGCTAAACTGATTTATTCTGAAACGAGTGCTGTTGGAGGTGCGAAATGCTATTAACCCCGCTGCGAGTGTCATTCAAGTCATTCAAGTGCAATCATTAGCTCTTCCCGTTAGATGTGTGAGTTAGTTGATGTTTTCAATGTTTTAGTTGATGTATAGCCATTAAATATTGAATAATGAAAACAGCAGCACAGTGTTGCACAATTTATTGCCGGAAAACTTTTGCTTTGTCTCTTCACGCACATACGACAGTCAAAAAACAATGAAAACTAACAAGTAACATTTACTACGGATGAGTTGTTGGTGTCATCTCCGTTCATCTTTCTACTAAGGTAGGGCTAAAGTTACAAAAAAACTCTTTCTGCTTGCACAGTTCAGGCTTCCATCTTTTTATAGGAATCGCCTCGCAAACTGGAGCAATCGAGAGTTTTGCCTGATGTGGACACTCTTAAATGCTGTGGTCACGTTCACTTGATGCTCAGTCCCCAACAAGTAGCGAGCGATTGATGACGCTGTTGTGCGGCGTTGAGTGGACCTTTGACCTTGATCATTCGGGTATGATTCGTCCACCAGTTTGTTAACCCATACAGGGATGTGTTCGAATACTCTTTGTCTAAGCTGTCGCTCGGTTCTGCCTAGGTAGGTGACCAAGCACCCACAGACAAATTGGTACAATTGATGGGATTTGGCATACTGTGGAAGCGCTTCCTCGACTGGAGGAGCCGGTATTCTATCACATATGTGGACGAAAACTGGTTCGGCTGTGTTGAATGTTCGTTTGATGGACGAGCTTAGGCGATGCTCCAACAAATTACTCACATAATAACCCTTGAGCGGTAGTTGTAGGACAACCTTGCACTTCGGTACGGATATCGAAGGCTCTACCTTCAAGTGTGCAATGCTATCCTTTTTCACGAACGAGCTCAGGTAACCATCATCCCGGAGAGTGCCGCTTAGTCTTAGCATCTTATCTGCGATGTTATCAGGCGTACGAATTTTTCTCTCACGGTCGTAAAGTGTCCTCACTGGCCCGCGTTTGTAAGGGGTGGGGACGAAGCTGCTGAAATGCAGATATCG